CTGCAGAGGGAATGTCACAAGCTGTCACAGGATGTCAATTGTTGCGCGTTCCTTCGAGCTCTTCACGATTGGCAGTGTCCGACCGTTCAAGAGTTACAAGAACCAGACCTCGACATGAAACACACAGCCGGCTCCCAACAACCTGCGAGCCGAGGCGCGTTAGCCTCCAGCCTCACGGAGCCGTCGCTCACGAGGTACGCCGATGACGAAAGCCCACACCTGTGAAAGAGCTTGGTCTCGTGCAGTGGCTCTGTGCTGCAGGCTTCTCAGCCACACAGAAATGAATGACATGGGATCCCCTTCGAAGCTCCTGGACCAGACCACGCTCGCCACCACTGGCAGAATGGGCACCATGGGCAGCAACGATATGCAGCGCGAGGTGCGGGGCACCCGGAAGCCCATGGACGGCATGAAGCCTTGGGGCGCAAAGAGCAAAGACAAAGCGTAGCGAAAAGACAAGAAGATCCAAAGGATACACTGAAGGCAGCCTGAGACCCTGGCACTGAGGCACTACCATCGGTCAACACCCACAAACTGGAGCCAAAGCTTCGGGAGCACCGGATTCATGCGTAGATCCTTCACCAGGCAGGACGCACCGGGAGCCACATATACCCCTCTGCGCTTTGCGCCCCGTTTTCACCTGCTTGTTCGCTCATCACGGTTTTGTTGGAAGCTCTTCTGGCAGGTCCAATGCTTCCATGATCTGCCATTTTGCAAGCTGTCTTGCGACACGACCTGCCGCACTGATCCCGTGAGCTCGGAGATTGCCGGCATCTATGATATCTTGTCCTGACATTCCACGATCGCAAGCCTTTTCGAAACGTGTGCTGCGCATCCCTTGGGAATCCTCGCTCCGGTGCCGTCATACCGCCTTGGCATGGTAACAGCCTGCCGACACACGATCTCGAAAGAACCCTGTGTTGAAATAAGATGACGTTGAGGGCTAGGCAACTGGGCATTGCCTCAAAGGTCGTTTCACAACTTGCTTGTGGATCTTGGGCCTAGGTTGCTTACGGGTCCTCGGAAACGTCAGCCTATCTCCAAAATTCAAGCTAGCTATAAGCCTGTAGCGTGCTGCATTCGCACGGTGGTTCGAAAAAAAACGCTAGCCTTGACTCAAGCGCTGGGCCGCGCACGTCTGAGATGATGTGTGGTCAGGCCCCACTCTGAAGTCAAAGAGACTGAAGCAGAACTGGGGGCATCAAGATTCCAATTAGATGAGTAATCTTAAGGACTGGTGCTGGAATACCTTAAAAAAAATAGGACGTCAGCAAAAAGTATGCACCGCACTACGGCCCTGAGACCCCCCCCCACCGAGTAAATAGTGGGACGCAGGATTAGGATTATTCGAAACTACAGGTGGTGAGTTTAGGGTAAATAGGGCTTCTATTCGGCTTCAAAAAGGGAAAAAGACCTTCTTTTTAGGCTCCTAGAACGGTAGCTACCCACCTGAAAAGGTCCTAGACAGGAACCCGGTTTGCAGCATTTGCGCTAAATAGCAGGATGCGGGGAGCTCCTTTCGAGGTGCGCCGCAAGTTCACGCCGGTCTATTTTTCTTAGGGTGTGGGGAAAGCAAGAAGACATGCACAGGGCCTCGACCACGAAACCTCAGCATTGCCACAGCCACCAATCCAAGCATGGCAACGGGCCACGGCCGCCACGGCCGCCATGGCCATGTCCTGGTGGTGCTAAGCTGCTATGTGGTGTGTGCTTGTATAATATGTGTATATTTGAGATTCCAAATCTTTCCCCCGCATCAAGCGGGTCGCTTGGGTCCTCTGGGAGCCGAAGCTCGGCTCCAGCAACTCCTCGTCATCCAACCACATGCCGAAAGCGTCCTGGCGTGAAGAAAAGACCGGTGAGATGTCTGAGAGGCTAAGAGCAGCGGAACAGAAGTCTCTGCAACATGTGAGAGCGCTCCGAAGGAGTCGACGCGTTTGAGCGCCTCGGCTGCTCTTTCGTGAGTCGAAAGCTTCAGGAATACAACCGCAGCATGACTACAACGCCGTTCTTTGCTATCACATCCACTCAAGCAACACGACCGAATTTCACTTCAACATCACAAGAGGTTAAAGCATTGCAGCTGCACGAGAAACTCCAAACCCTCTAAAGGGATCTCGAAGATGTCGGGCGGAATACGAAACCACGAGTGGACGGAAAGGATTCGAAAGGAGCCACACCTTTTGATCCGCGTGTTCAACGTATTTCAACGTGAGGTTGACTGAGTTGTCTGAAACGGAGCTTACGACTTGTAAAGAAGTCGCCTTTTGCGCCATCCGTGCACTTGAACACTGGTTGTTCGTGCCGCCGTTTGCCGCGTTTCCATAAGGGCTGGAACATACAAAAGGGCGGCATTATGTTCGGTATCCCGCTCTCGGCGCTTTACAGCTGGGCAGGGGCGAAAGGGGGCGGCCAACAGCGATGCAGCTTCCATGGCTACCAACCAGTACGAAGCGGCACAGAGCTGCCTGCAAAAGATCTCTGTTGCTCACCGGTTGCAGCTAGAGCTATACCTTGACCAAGTAAACCCCACAGGTCAAGCTTTGGGTCGGAGGAGCTGTCGGAGATGTGGTGAGCACCGTAAGGAAACGACCAGTCAAAGCTTGGTCCTAGATCTCAGCATGGTTTTGGCTGTGCCGTGGCAAAAAAATAAGAGTAGGCAGCGCTTCGTACAACAAGCCTTTCCAGCAAGGCTTTGGTCCTGTCATGTAATGACTTCCAGGCTTCCGATCACACCATGCCAATGCAGGCTTGGACTTGGAAACTTGACATCGAGAGGCAGATTGACAATCTCTTTCATCTCATCGTACTCGGCGAAGGCTGCACGCTCATGTCGCTCCTACGAGAAACGTATACCGCATCACGCATTCCTCAAAACCACACCCGCTGGCACCTCCTGAAACTGCGTAAGACTCTGTCGCACAGTGCCGGAAACGTGCGGAAAGGGGCAGTCTCGAGGGAAGGCGTGGTGCAGCCACTGCCTTAGAGCCAACGAAGCACGTGATGCCAGTCGTGATGCTAAATGAAGCCAACGAAGGGTGCAGGCCTATGCAACTCTCTGCAAGCCTGCAAGATAGCTTCAATGTAGGTCCGAGCCACGCAAAGAGCCGGCCGTGCAACGGAACCTCCCGATGTGATTGCACTGCGCTGCAAAAGCTGTCGCATGATGCGTCTGGCGCGCCTCGCCACTGTGTTGTGCAGCCACCTCCGAGAGCCTCTCGCAGGTGTTGCGCCCGTCGCTGCAAAAACTCAGGGCGGCGAGGGCCTCTCGGAGAGTTCGCCTTCCAAGGAGAGGCCTTGGAAGGGTCGCTCGCGTGGCGTAACGCCATCGTTAAGAGGGTTTTTTGCCACAGGGCTTATAGAATCTTAGGACCTGGGCCGCTGCGGAGGGCCTGCACCTGGCGTCTTTCACCAGATCTCGATTTTTCTGGCCCTCTGATATGGGACCCCCGGCCGCATTGAGCATCGCGGTCGGGGAGGCACCTGGCAAAGGCACGAAGAAACAGAAGCGATCTTTGGCCACCTTTCCACAAGGGCCCGGCTGGGAGCTCTCAGCGATGCCTCCAGTTGATCCATAATCTCCTGCGCTCGCAGACGGGCTCGCAGACCGTCTCCGACTTCGTCTTTCAAGCTGGCGTCCTCGCAAGGATCCGAGCAACACACCGAGTAGTATTCCGAGGACGCCAAGCAGTTGGAGTCCGCCTCGACGCAAAGAACCACCGAAGCGACCACATCGACACCACATCACATACTGTCGGCTCAGGCCGCTGCCATCATGTAGTTGGGCACGATGACACGAGCCCTCGGAACCGAAGCACAGCGTGGGCTCATCCGCTGCAGCCGCTGCCCCACTTCGCATCGCTCCACGGAGATGGTGGGGCTCCAACTCCTGATCCGACTCGTCCAGCGCCCCTGTCAGCAAGCAAGCTCACTGCACGCAGCTGCGTCCGAGGTGGCGCCTTGTTGCCGCAAGAACTCTGCACTCTCAGTGAACTCCAAGGTCCCCTGCAGGTCGCGAGCACCGCGAAAGGGCGAAGCGCTCTCGGCGAAGGCCTGGTCAAGGGCTGGTCGGTAGAAGTCTCCCAGAAGAACCCGACCAGGTCGCTCCTGGCAGCCGGAAGCTAATGCCTGCAAGAGAAACACTGTCCAGCACATGTCACAGTTCGGCGCTCCTCCATCGCCACCAGCTGCCGCTTCAAGGCTTGGCACTCCTTCTCCTACGCTGGGGCGCTTGGGCGCTTGGGCGCGGGTCAACGAAGACAGCACCTCCAATCGCGCGAAACGGTCAGACGTGATCAGCAGGATGGACGACCTAAACTTCGCGTCGATGCACACGTCAGCAACGGATGAGACCAGACTCGACGAAGATCGCAGGTGTTCCTAATGTCGCGTGGGATGCGTTCCTCATGTCATGCAGAGACAAGGAGCTGGATACGGCTTTCTTGAAGTCTGACAGTCCGAGGTGCATGGTCTGGAAATGAAGGAGTTCGGCGCCTTTCCCTGCGACCTCGGCAGTGGCCTCCTCGAGGAGTTCCTGCACCTCCTTCCACCGCGGATAGCTCCTGAAACTTACATGGCTAAACGTGGCTCTGTGGGGAACTCTCAGGATGACAAAAGAGTCCCGATGTTCTGATGGAGTGCTTGGAGATCCGAAGCCTTGGCGAAGGCTGCATTTCGCGGACTCTGAACTTCCTGACCTTCCTCCCTTCAGACAGGGTACGGTCAGCTCCAGCGCCGAAGACTCCGTTCCCAGGATGTAGCCTGCGCATTCGACATTTGCAGCCGACAAAACAACACTGGAGGCACAGACAGAGAGATGTGCCGAGGAGCTGGACATGTAGTACTCCATGACCTCGAGGGCAAAAAGCAGCCACAAGGCTCTCAGCTGCTGAAAAGTTTGGGGGGGGGGGGAGAGGGGGGCGGCTGAACTAGGCGCCTCCTTGGCGGCGCTCGCTTCCAGGCCCTGGTAGCGCGTGTAGACGCCGGCTGCCTGGTAGCTCACCTCTGCCCACCGGACGAAAAAAACAGCCAAGCGGGGGATAGGGTTTAGGGTTTAGGGTCGCCCGGTGTGCAACGAGCCGCGTTCAGCAGCAGATCTGCTTCATCCCGCACTAGCTGTTCAATCGTCGCAGCGAGGACGGAGAGCTCCTGGGACCGCTGTACACCGCACAGTCTGTTCTGGCAAGGCGACGATAGATAGGCTCCATCGCCCTCGTTTGCCCCGCTCTCTCTGTCGCTCAGGTCTGCCATCCATTGCCCGGGGCATCCATGCCCAAACCACGACAACGTGCCAATCCACCCATAGGCCAGTGCATCCATGCCCAAACCACGACAGCATGCCAATCCACCCATAGGCCAGTGCATCCATGCCCAAACCACGACAGCGTGCCAATCCACCCATAGGCCAGTGCATCCATGCCCAAACCACGATAACGTGCCAATCCACCCATAGGCCAGTGCATCCATGCCCAAACCACGACAGCATGCCAATCCACCCATAGGCCGGTGCATCCATGCCCAAACCACGACAGCGTGCTAATCCACCCATAGGCCAGTGCATCCATGCCCAAACCACGTTAACGTGCCAATCCACCCGTAGGCCAGTGCATCCATGCCCAAACCATGATAACGTGCCAATCCACCCATAGGCCAGTGCATCCATGCCCAAACCATGACAGCGTGCGGCCAGTGCATCCATGCCCAAACCACGACAACGTGCCAATCCACCCATAGGCCAGTGCATCCCTGCCCAAACCACGACAACGTGCCAAGCCACCCATAGGCCAGTGCATCCATGCCCAAACCACGATAACGTGCCAATCCACCCATAGGCCAGTGCA